AATCTATGGTTTTGCCAAATGGGGAACCAAAAGGAATAAAACTTGTTTTGGAAGAAAGAGGATTATGGGTTCCAGGATTGGTAAAAATATGCAAAAAATGCAAGGAGAAAAATTATGGTCAAGCTGATTGTTGTGCATCTAGAATATTGTCTTCAGAGCCTGATTTTATGGAGCAAAAATCACTTTTGGAGGAGATTGTTGAACAAGCAGGTCATAAGATTATTTTTTACCCTAAATACCATTGTGAGTTAAATTTCATTGAAAGTTTTTGGGATCAGCTAAACAATATGCTAAACAAAATTGTAATTATTCTTGGACAGGCTTAAATCAAATAGTCCCTGATACATCAGATTCAGTATCTGTGAATAAAATTAGAAAGTTTGCTAGAAGAAGCTACAGGTATATGTCAGCCTATATATTAGGATTACCATGTAAAGCTGCCATATATGCTGTTAAAAATATTGTTCACATAGAAGAGTCCCTGAAAATGTATTAATGGATATTGACATCATGAATATCTGATAATAAATCAATAATTTATCACCTTCATTGGTTAGAATTCATTCATTAATTATATATATAGTAAATTTACCTAATTTATCTAATTTATTGTAGTATTATGCTTGTTTACTGTTACCAGGACCCTGGATAATGTTTCCATTTATGAATTATTCGTAATAGCAATAGTAACATTGCTAGATAATACTAATTAACGAATACGATAAAATGATTGAGTCATGTGATGTTATAATCCCGTGACACAAAAGAGTATCATTACTATTTTGGGATTTGAAGATTTGGCAGTGCGGCACAGCATTTGATGTCTTTAGATGACCCGCACCATAGTAATAGGTGTCCTGCACCATACGCGTCGATCAAATCACAAACTTCTTTTTTTTATGTCATCAAAAAAAGACACCAAAAGAAGAAGACAAGAAACCAACAAAGAACAACACGAGTAAGTGTTTTAAGGATGGTGGTGGTGGTTATCGCCTGCCACTCGTCGTTGCTCTAGTTTATTTAGAAAAAATGATATTTATTTCTTAGAAAACCTCTTTCATCGTCAGAAAAAGTAAGTAATATGTAAATTGTATCCTTTTCAAATGGATAGAATTAGCTGCTTCATTTTTTGATGATTTTGACATTGGTTTAATCCCAACACACAGGAAAATGAATCAAAAGATTAATCTGTATCTCAGAAGTAAAAGAAAGTGATATGAAAGAAGGAATTGCAATGAATATCGTTCAACTCAATAGTTCATTACAAGTAAGTATATATGGTTTTTAAAATTGTGTAAACATAATAATAACTTGTGTTGGTATTATATTATAGGAAAACAGTAGGAAACGTAAACAGAAAAAAGAACTTAATTATACATATGGAATTGTTACTACTGGTACAACATGGTGGTACATTATGTTTGTTGATGAAGGAAAGGATGTTTATACTAAAGACTAGTGCCGTAATCCAAAAAAGGAAAAAGTATGGTTGCAAAAGTGGTCGCAAAGGTAATTGCAACTACTTTTCATATGCCGTAAATACAATTACTACCATCATCATAATTTACGGCACTAGTCTTTAGTTTATACGTCAGCTAATAAAGGTGATGATACTATTCCTCTTGGTAATGAAGTATTATGAGATGATTCGGAACTAAGGAAATGCGTGAAGAAAGTAATTGAAAAAATTACATGGATGTTAAATGATAAAGTATCTGTAAATGGAGAACTTGTGACAAAAAGACGGCGTGTTCAAAATAACACCAAGAAATCCTTGTGATAGTTATCAATTTAATATTGTTAAATTGTTTTTTTCCTAATTTATAAATTCATTGAATTTAAGTATAAAAATAAATTGAATAACAACATAACAATAATGATGATTATAATATTTTTATGCTCAACGTTTTGAAACTTGTTTATACTGTATGATCAAAAATATGTAGATTGTTCTTAAAGCATGTTAATGTTCCTAATGTAAATTAGCTTCATATTACTAGATGAATATCATGATCAAACGCTTTTTTGGTAATACCAATGTTCACTTTGGTTTTGTTGCAGCATGGCCCATATACGTGTATTATAAGTCAAATTATGTTCTTTTTTCTAATGTTAGGGTTCTTTAATTTTAGTCTGGATCAAATCATATAATAATAACAAACAGGAATTTTTGTTGCTGATCTATGAATTTGGTAGACTGTAACACATGATGATCGTATAATAAGGTTTTTAGCAAAGTTGCTGATTAAAAAACCTTAAATGCGGTCATTCCAAATTTCTTAAAAACCTCTAGGACCAAGATATACTACAAAATTTTTTTCTAACAATGGGATATGAATCTCTTGATGAAGCACTTTCTTTCCCTGAAGATAATCTTATACCAATTAAAAAATCCGTTTTAATAACTGACACATTGTCTGCTCAAGGAAACTTTCTTCTGCATCATTTCATAGCCAATCAACTAAAAGTTAACAAACATGTTGTTCTGGTAGGGTTTACGCAAAAGTTTGAACATTATTCAACAATTGGAAGAAAGCTGGTAATTATTTGATTTTCTTGATTAGATATTAAAAATAAGAAATGAAATGAATGAGATGAATGATGCAGGGAAATAATAAAATGTAACCGATTAATTAAATTAGGGTGTAAACCTTACTCTTGCAAATCAAAAAGGAACCCTATCATTTCTTGATGGATTAACTTCTTTTTTTTTTCAAAATACCAGTGATAATATTACATCAGCAGATAAAGCAACTACAACCACTAATACAACTTCATCAGTATTAACAGCATCAAAAAATGTCTCCATTTCAATATCTAATGGAAAAGAAGATTTACAAAATATTTATAATACAATAAAGGAAGTTATTTCAACACGACATTCATCAAAGGATGCTCATGTATCTTTAATTTTTGATGACTTATCAGTTTTGAGTTATTCAGGATTTTCTATAAAAGATATTTTAGAATTTATTAAAGCATGTCGTGTTTTAGTTGAAAAGGTAGCTAATTAATAATAATTGATTAAATAGTAAATGGTAATAATTATTAAAATTCTTTTGATTTTTTTTTGGTGGATCAAAAAGTTCGAGGGTACACTTATAACATTACTTCATACTGATGATGTGATTCTGGAAGAAGAAGAAATAGAACAAATAGTATTAATAAATACACTAATTTATCAATCTGATTATTTATTATCTGTTAAAGGATTAGGATCGGGATTTTCAAGAGATATTTCTGGAGAAGTAACTAATTAAAATATTCCTATAATGTATTGATCAAAATATTATTATATTTTAATAAATGTTATTTTTTATTTTCTAGATTAATATAGCCCGAGGTCCCCGAAATTATGATAAATGGTTCAGACCAGCAGTTTTACATTACAAAATTCTTGACAATAATGTTAAATTCTTTGCTAAAGGTTTCTCACAAGGAATTTTTTGATAATAAATAATAACAAAGATTTGATTATAAAAGAAGAAAATGAAGATTATGTTTCTATAGAAGTAGCTTGAATGGTTTGAACATTAAAAATAATAATAATTTTGATTTATTATTTTAAAGTTAATGAATTCGATTTAAAAACCAATTCTATACAAAAATTCCCAGTGTGTGAAATTTCTCAGATATCATATAATTTTCCGCTCATATGGAAAGTCTTTAATTTGATTTTGTATTTTAATTAGTTGAACTAGACTATAACTAACATTAGGAAGATCATTGAACCTCTATAACAATAACTTGAATATTCTCACAAGTATCCACTGTTTTCAGAAAAATTACAACCTAATGATAAACATGCATCAAAGCTGGATGACCAACTAGCTCCTCATATGTTCAATCAGTATTTTCGAGCTTTCTTATAGTTGTATAACCTTTTTACTAAACATTTGTGCTTCTTCACAGCTAGCCATTAGATCCTTAAAATAATAACAATGGCTGAATTTAATTCAATTGTATATTTAGCATAATTCAAATATAATATTTTTGGATCATCCCGTAAAGTTGAAATGTTGATACTATATGTCATCGTTCACTGGAGAATATAATGTTTACAATGCATTGAAATTTTATACATATATTAAATTAACTTGTATTACTACTTTATTCAATTACATAAATAAATTGTTCCAAAAAAAACTTCTGTAAATCAAAGAAGACATAGAACTAAAAAATAATCAAAAGTTTCCACCACTGTAACTAGTGAAGAAGGTCTTTTCAACAATAAATAAATAAAATCAAGATTTATGGTAACTTACCTGATATATATGGTAATGAAAATCTACAACCATAACTTTAAATTCAACTACAATAATTTATGGGTGTTTATAGAGATATCTATAGTGGTTGTATTTTTTTATCTATTTTATTCTATTCATTTATCCAATGCATCTTTTCCGATATGCAATAATATTAATATCTAATTTTTTCGGTTATCTAAATCTTTTTACTTTGAACACAAAAATATTTTTCCATTGTAGATCACAATTAATAAAATAAATACCATTGTAAAATTAAAAAAAAAAATCCTAAATAATTCAAACATGAGTAACATTAGTCGTTTCCATACTCAGAACACTCAAGAAGATGAAAATTTTTCTTTCCTTGAATATTCTGGCGGTGACACTCAAGCTACTGACTACGACTACAACGACTTTTCGGTTGATTCAACTCTTGCTTCTCAGCAATCAAGTAATTTACTTAATGGTTCCCAAAATCAATTTGTTGAACCTGATCTAAGTGGTGTTGTTGGAGATGAACTAGATTCGTTTCAGTCTCTAAACATTATCGAAAGAGGATTACCTGAGCACGCTTGCAGGTACTATATTTATATTTATGTTTATATTTATTTTATTATATAAAAATGTTTTTCCGTAAAAGTATCGGGACGACAATAATTATAATTATTGCAACTTTTTTTTAGATATTGTGGTATTCACTCGGTAAATTCCATAGCTAGATGTGTTACTTGTAGTAAATGGTTTTGTAATTCGAGAGGTAATACATCGGGTTCTCACATAATCAACCACTTAGTTCGTGCAAAACATAAAGAAGTGGCTTTGCATCCTGACTCGCCACTTGGAGAAACTACCTTGGAATGTTATAATTGTGGTTGTAGAAATGTGTTCTTACTTGGTTTTATTCCTGCAAAAAGTGACACTGTAGTTGTACTTCTTTGTCGGTAAGTTATTACTCTATAGAAAAATAATTATAACATAAAATATGAACTTATGTGATTTTTTTTTTTTGATTAGTCAACCTTGTGCTGCTATGCCAAGTAGCAAAGATATGAATTGGGATACTTCTCAATGGCTCCCTCTTATCGATGACAGATGCTTCTTACCTTGGCTTGTAAAAGTTCCGAGTGAACAAGAACAACTTAGAGCTCGTCAGATCACAGCTCAACAAATAAATAAGCTTGAAGAGTTATGGAAAGATAATGCTGAAGCTACTTTAGAAGATTTGGAGAAACCTGGTATTGACGATGAACCACCACCTGTTTTGTTAAGGTATTTATTTATTTATTTATTAAAATATGGACTGTCCTCTTGAAAAAAATAAAATAAATCCATGTATATATTAAGTATTAATAAATATTTTTGAACCTTTATAATCAGTAACATGGACAAATTTCATTTCAACTATTGTATTAATCTCAAGTCCCAGAGTATCAGCATGATTTCCCCACAAGGTAACTTTATTTTCATGTCCATTTTTGTCAGCTATGCTGATATTTTGTATTTGGACCTATAAATAGTTTAAAGAACAAAATTGATAGATTAATAAAAAATTTCTTAATGAAATATGTATAAAAAAGATAAATACTCTTTTTTTAGTGGCTTTTGTTGTGATGCTGTGAGATTTATCAATCTTCTTTACAACACCAATAACATCTATTAAACAAAATATTAATAAAAATCAAAAAATCAAAATATATATCATTTTAAAAATTAGGAATTATAATTACCAATATAACTGTCTATATCAAAAGCTGTTAATTTGTCCAATGGAAAGAAATTAAAAGATAATAAATTCACCAAATCATCTTCATTAAAATCATTATTGTTGCACTAAAAAAAAATAGGAAAAATGGGGTTTTTTTAAAAAAAACTTTAATAAAGAGAAAATTCAACAACCTGAAATTTTTATGTTTACATACCTGTTTAATTTCAATATTATCATCAAAATACATTTCATAGTGATTCTCCAGATTATATGATTTTTTGCTTAAAATCACATTTAAATTGGATATATAATATGCCTATTTGAAATTAAATAATTAATAATTGACAGAAGATGAAGTAGAATGGGTTCAGTTTTAAAATTCATACTTTATATTTTTCCAATTTATCATAAAATTTGTCTATGTAACCATCAAATGCAGTGGCTCTAATTTCTCCCTAATTACATTGATTATGTATATTTCATTTTAGTAATCAAGTCTTTTTGAAAAGAAATAATAAATAGTAATAATAATTCATACCAATTTGTCCACTAAAACAACTCCAAACAGTGTTCTTTCGCCATTTCATTTTTCCAGTGGACAATTTCTGATTTACCCACTATGTATGCTCTAATGGTGAAACTAATCAAATAATAAAATAAAATAAAATAATACATAGCTTTAATGGAGCCATAAAATTATGTTCTCAAAAAATAATCAATATACATACTCATGAGCATGTATAGAGCAGATCTCTTTAATTCTTAAAATCTTGGTTGTTTTATCTTTGACAAGTTTGCAACATGCTTTCAAAAGTTCTTCTTCTAATTCTTCATTTTTGATCCCAAGTATTTTCTAGCTTTTCCATAACGAACTTCCCAAATTGTTTTATGAAAAGAAGCATGTAATCTTAGATAACAAATGGTTATTGCAGTTGTCCACCAGGTATAGTGTGTGATGGTTTTCTTGAGACATTCACCACCAGCATATATTTGGATGGTAGATGTAAATGATTTGGATTTTGTATCAGAAGAAATATCAAGCATTTCAGAAAGAGTATCTGAAAGATAGAATGAGCCTTTGTTGGTTTGTTTTGAAATAAGAATTTGTGTGTTTTCAACTTTTCCAAAAGATTTACTGAATGCTGATTCTGATTTGCTAGTATATTGTTGCAAATCATTATTAAAACTAGAGTGATTGCAAGTGGTGATATCCACTATCCTTTTTAAAAAATAATAACACTTACTTTGCAATGTTTCCCCTTTGATCTTCATTCATTCCTTATTACTACTGTTTATAGACATTTTTAACAATTATTTAACAATTAACTAGTGGCTATAACTACCACCATTCTTTTAATAAACACTTACCCAGTAACTTCTTCCCAATCTGTTTCTACTCTTCTTTTTGATGTGGCATTTTTATAAATATAAAAATAAAAAGACTATTTTATGAAAAGTGTTTATTATTAATATTATATTATTGAAAGATTGGTTATTTATTAAAATGATAAATGATGACTAATTGATTATTATTGATGTTAAATGCATCATTGATGATGTAATTGATTAATGATACCTGACGAAATGTTTTCAAATTGACGAAATGTGGCGAAAGGAGGAAAATGCAACAAAAAGAAAATACAATTAATTTAAAAATAATGAATTTATATGTGCTCTTAAATTTATATTCATTTGTTCTTCATTGAAATGTCAAATGGTAGTCTGCCTCAATTTGTAAATGCTAGCTCAGGTGTTGTTGATGGTAATTCGTCTTCCTTTTAACTAGGAAGACCAGCATCCTAGAAAAAAACCAAAAAGTAGAAGAGAAATAATTTTCAGTCAACTGTCAACTAGGGTTTCTATTCGTAATGCTTATTTGAATTAATTTTCTTAATCGAATTATTTGTTTATTCGAATAGAATCCCTAGTAACAGTTGAACTCAGATGCATGTTTTCCCGGTTCTTCCGTCTATGCAGAGTTCTATATACCCACTTGAGAAAAAAGCAAAGATTTTAATCACATTTTGAAACCTGTAACCCCATGTGACACGATGTTCACATTGATCATAAAGTCTGGAAAGATAGCACCACTACTTTAAAACAATTGAGCATCAATATAAAAAAATGTTACACATGTAAAAAGGGGATGCTATCTTTCCAGACTTGATGATATGCAAAGATATTAATTTTTAATACTCTAATTAATGAAATTCTGTATATGTTATCATCAACACTCCTGCTAAATTAATAACCATTAAAATCTACAAGTTATTTTCCCATTGATTCACTAAAGAGATCATCTTTGAGCTATTTATAGAACTATTATCATTTTTATTGTCTAATAATCACCAAAAAATAAAATTTGCAACAAAATGTCAACTTGTTTTTCATCTTTAGGAAATTTAAACTTATTATTTAATGACACCCTACCATTGAAATACATCAGTAAACTTTTAAATGACTTAACAAAGTTATTAAATGAATCTGACTTTTATGATGTAGAAATTAGAGTTGGAGTGGATGAGGACGTTAAAAATTTTAAAGCTCATTGTAGTATTTTAAAAGCAAGATCCTCATATTTTAAAACTGCTTTATCAAAAGATTGGATTAAAAAATCTGATGATGGCATTATCTTATTTGAAAAAAAAAACATTTCTCCAAATGTATTCAAGGTCCTTTTGACGTAAGACTATTTTAATTTTTATTAATTGATTAATTAATATTAATCAATGATTTAATAATTTAAATTACTTATGACTTATAGCTATATTTACAATGGAACTCTTAATATAGATAATCTGGGCGGAAACAAAATTTTTGAACTTCTTGAAGCGTGTGATGAATTAGATTTTAATGAATTAATTGATGATTTACAAAATTATTTAATCATTGAAAAAAAGGAATGGATTCTAGAGAATTTAATACATATTCTTAAAATTTCATCAAAATATCAATCATTTACTTTACTTCAAGATTACTTTATGGAATTAATTGATACCAATCCAGAATTAATTTTAAAATCAAATGATTTCAAAACTATTGAAAAACCCATTCTTATATCCATATTGGAGAGAGATACTTTAGTACTTAATGAAATTAATGCTTGGGAATGTATGATTCAATGGGGAATAGGACAAATTGATGTTGATGATAAAGAAGAAATAAATGATATTAATATTTCAAAATTGAATAAAGACCATTTCATCAAGTTGAAAGCTATTTTAAAAGATGTTATTCCATTAATAAGATTCCAAGAAATATCTAGAGAAGATTTTTTTTATAAAATTAAACCTTGTAAAGAAATCTTTGATCCAAAAATATACGAAGAACTTCATCAATGTTATTTTTTTGATAAATGGCAACCAAGGTCATTAATTCTTCAAAAAGGTCCAAGAGCAGGAATAGGAAAATTATTAAATTCACAGATGAAGAATTTAATTTCTAGCTGGATTGAGGACAATGATATACCTTATAAATTTGAATTAATTTTATGTGGTACTCGTGATGGATTCTCTCAATCAACTTTTGAGAATAAATGTTTTGGCATTAAACAAACTGTATTCATTATGAAGCTTAAAGGAACAGATGAATTGGTTGGTGGATATAATCCAGTTTTTTGGAATGTCAAGGGAAAATCTCAAATGGAACATTATTGGATTGAAACAGACAAAAGTTTTATTTTTAAGATTGACAAAAAACAATCAAGTAATTCCATTTTAAGTAGAATCAGGAATTCTCAACGTGCAATATATCGTAATGTTCCGTTTGATTTTACAGAGTATAAAATAAAATTTAAGGAAAAAACAATAGATATGAACAACTTGCAACTTTTTCACAGCATTAATAATGAACCTTATTGTCGTTATTATTATAGTAAAGGCTCTAATTATAATGAATATAATTTGAACCTTATAAATCCATTTTGTTTATTAGAAGAACTTGAGGTATACAAATTAGTAAATAAACCATATTGTAGCACTTGAATATAAACATTACAAGTAACAAATATAAGCTCTACATATATTTTGATTTTTTATAATAACATTCATCTTCCTCATTTTCATTTTCCTCATTCCCCAAAAAATGATCTTCTGTCAATTGCATTACTAATGCAACACTTTAAATGATTTCATAATAATTTTTTTTGGAATTTCATTCCAAACCTCAAGAATCCATTTACAAATAACATTGCCTATCTTCAGGCTTTCTCAAATTTCCACTTTGGTACAGGTGAATTTACCCAAACTCATCCAAGTATTCCACATTTCACAAAATCTATCTTAAATAATTTTTTGAAGTAAAAGAGGTGAGAACCCCTGAATGATTTCTAGATCAGCATTTTCATCTTGTGCAATTTTTTTGATAGGATCTGTCTTGTGAACTTTAAAGCTATACATAATAAAAAGTGCTTTTTTTGTAATTCTACACCTTATCAAACCAAGCTTTATTCCAATCTTGTCCAACCATGATAATTTGAGGAGGTAAATTGTTTGCCATTAAAAACAACAGTTGGTAGCAATTTTGTACCATCTTCAGGAATTGTAAGGCCACATGTAAAAGGATTTTTTCATTTCCAGTTGACCATATTAAAATAAAATCTATATTTCCAATTTCTGAAAGTTCATATTCAAATTGTTTTTATTTTTTTATAATAAATTGTTGAAATTTACATTAATATGAGCAGGAAGTTTTTGATCTATCTTTGTCTTCCAATTTCTCCCAGTAACCGCTCCATGAGAACCAATAGGTACTTGACTTTTTCATCAAGTCAACACGTGACAACTGTAAGCAATTTCTGAAAATTCATATTCAAATTAGTTTTGATTTTTTATAATAAATCATTGAAATTCAAGAAGTTCCACATCAATATGAGCAGGAAGCCTTTGACCAATCTTTGTCTTCCGATTTCCCCAGAAATCACTCCATGAGAACTTCATAGTATTGATGTTAGCCGGCTAGGAAAAAATTTCTCTCAACACTCATTTTTACATTTGGAATTTTAGTGCAGAATTCGGTGGCATAGACACTTGGTTGAGATTGGTCTATCTGCATTACTTGGAATGACAAAGATATATTTGCTCAAAAAAAAAAAAATACAATACTCATGTCAAAAATTAAAAGCTTCGCCCATATAAATTATTATTTGTTGAGCAAAAAACTGGTTTATTTGTTTTTTTATTAATGTTCACGAATTTAATAAATATAACATTAAAGGTCCCATTTGAGAATTAGATAGCTGAAGGATGGAGAGCTTCAATAATGTTCCTTGCCTTTCTTGATGGATGTATATATTCCATTAATGAAAATAAAAAATAAAAAAGTGGATATAAATGATTCATAGCAGCATACAGAAGGACAAAAACAAAAAGTGCCAATTTGTCAAATAAAAAAATCAGTAATAAAAATTAAGTTTTCGTGCAAGAATAATAAATTGCATATAATAACAAATAAATGAGTTTTTACTAATTAGTGCTTCACTGAAATTTGAATTAACATGATGAAACTGTTTTTTTGCCTTCACAAACAATCTCATTAATGTATGAAAAGGCTCACTGCAAATCCTCTGTTAAAACATATAATACAATATACACAATTTTGTTGATTAAAGAATTGTTATTCGACCATAAAAAAATTATATTTTTAATGATTGTTACGCAGCTATTAAAAAAAATTGTTATTGATAAGAAAATTTCTAATACTTCAATTTGTCTTGTGCAGCTTTTAAACCTAATTCCCAAAAATCAGCAAATGAGAAAAAGGTCATGCGATAGAGGAAAAAGTTCAGCGACCAAGTGACTTAGTGGCTTCTAGGCTACACAAAATAAAAATTTCAAACTTTTATACAAAAACATGAAAACAAAAAAAAAAAAATTCAAATTTCTTTTTTAGACAATATAATGTGTGTGTGAGCAAGAAGTTGCTGTCATATGATTCAAATCTGTAAATAACTTGACAAGATTTAGAAATGATTAATTTTGTGAGATGCCCAATATATATAAAAATTCCCTGATCTACGAATATAAACTTTTTGTGCTCGTCCACATGTTGTTTCATTAGATTTTTTATTTACACTAATAAACAAACAAATAATTGTTTTTATCTGGTTATAGAAGAAAACAATGGCTTTTTTTTGTTAATTATAAATCAAATTCCGATGAGTACAATTCATATTCCTTATTCGAATTCAAATAGGAACAGAAAGTAAGAATCGAACTCCTTTTTTAGTAAGATTGTTTGGGTAGTGATATTCGAATTACTTGTTTGATAATTTGATTAGTTTGATGATTCTAACATTCAATTTGATCGCTTGATTCGAAATACAAATGGAAATATAAATAATTGATATCAGTGTAACGAATTTATTTCAAAGAATTTAATGAAACTTCCAAACTATGCAATTCGAATAACTCAAATTACTACTTTATTATGAATAATGAAATTCCCTATATTATGTAACCATTTTTGAGTTTAAAATTTTTGTACAATGGAAATAAGCATAAATACACGCAAAAGATTCATCCAAGTAGAATTATATCGTTTTGACTTTTATTTGTTTGGATGCTAAGAATTTTATTTCCTATAATATCGTAAAATTTCCTATAATTGAAATAAAAACTTTTAAAGTATGCAAATCAACTTACATTTATAAATAATTTTGATATTTGAAGGCTAATTTTTTTTTTTTTTTTGTATAGAAATGCCAGCAGCAGAAGTCCTTACTGTAGAAATAGTTAAATTTGTACATGCATTATTAGTCTCTATACCCCAGTATGTCTTGGGTTCCTTATCTGCTATAGCGATATTAGGGGCCACACCAGTGGGTGGTTTTAGGGAGAAGCTCCGATGGATATTTCTGTGCCTGGGGGCACCTATAGAGGGACTCGTTTATTACTGTAATGTAAAAAACGATGCGATAATTATGAGCACATATTGGCTCGAATATGATCACTTTAAATCAATTGATTTTGAAAATAGTGGAATAATAGAAAACAATGATAATAATAATGATAACTATGCGAAAGATAATAATATTAGGTTGGAAGAAAAAAATAATAGCAATAATAATGATGATGCAGCGCGAGATAATAATAGGTCAGAAGATAATAATAAGAATGGTGATGATATTACTATTACATTAGAAAGTATTAATCCAGAAATAAGTAGTGTAATACTCAACTATAAGCTTTTTGGATGGAATACTAAAATAATGGAGCTCACCCCAGAACAGAAAGAACTTATGAAAGGATGTGTGGCTGAGGCATCAATATTAGATCGCCTTAGTTACATGGTATCCATTTATTACATAGTAGTAGGGATATTTGCGGGGATAAGCAGGGCAATCGGACCATGTATCAAAGAGGAATGGCCATATATACCACTAACATTGGCTTGGACTTTGCCAGCTATTTTTAAGAAAGTGGTGGGGGGGATAGTGGTGGTTCACAACCCAAATAAAAAGATCGTTGGGAAAATAATAGTAAAAGATTCTCCAATGGATAGAAGATATAACATTATTGAGACTGGTTTATTCTCGATCATAGCTCCATGGCTAGCAGTGATTTTAGCCTATTTCACAAACCCAATCGGATATGGATGTAGAAGCCGCTTTCTGAGCGTGCTGTGTGGGCTGTGGACGATTAATAATTTAGTCTCGCTATTATTCAATATTATGAGAATACGTGACAAAAATATCCAGCTCCTAGTTCGTTTTCACTTTTGTATTTCTGGTGCGTTTGTAGCATTTATGCTACTTTCGCTGGTTCTACTTAGTAGTTCAAGGCCATTATGGGTAAAAATTTTTGGAGACCTTTGTGCTGATCCAACAACACCTTGTTTGAGCATGTCAGATATTGTAAACAAGTAATTAATTTTTTGTTGTATCATCACTCACATAGGACGTTATTTTTTTTAATAATATTTTATTATTTGTATATATTGTTTTTTTTTTTCATTAAAAAAATCTAGTTATGTTAATAATTAATGATTTTTTTAAAAAATAGCTTTAGATTAAAGTTATTTTTTTTTATTATGTATATTAGTTACCTAAAAATAAAGACTTTTAGATTTCTTTACTTAATTATAAATAAAAGGCTTCCAGGGTATTAAAAAATCCCACACGGAAAACATATGTTTTCATTATATCTTTTTTTTGCTAATGTCGAATTATTCCAATGTCGAATGAAACTCACTATTAACATTGGGTTAGGACATGTTATATAATTGAAAGTCACTTTTCTGTATTATTGTTAAAATTTACTGGATTACGAATTAATATGTGCTGGCTGTGTTAACACATCAATTGATCTGTCCTAGGATTGTATAGTCTTTTCAACTGCAATATCGATTTTTCTATTTCCCATACCCTTTGTTTATAAACCCGCCTTTATTCTATTATTAAATTTATTAAATGGAATCCACCTATATTTTACATTCAAGAAGAAATTTGGATATTTCTTCATTTCCTTTCGCGTTCATAGCATAATATCAATTTATTATTGATGTTATTTGCATTTCCAACCAATGCACAGACCTTTTTTTCTTTATTCTTTTAAATCATCAATGAACTATAACAATATAAATTTTCAATTGATTCACAATCTCTATGTTAATATTAATATTAATATTAATATTAATAGTTTAAACTAGAATGAAAAGTTGCATCAATAATCACCCACCATTATTGAAAAGATTTTCTTTTATGAAACAGCTGTAATTAATATATTCCATCTGTAAAAAAATTGTTACTATAGTGGATTTGATCGACTTTTTGCATTTTATTATGTTAAAATGAATAGTTCAGCGCTAATGGTGATCTGGTATTTACTGATACCCAATTTGGCATCATTCAACCAGTAAAAAGAGAACCGATAGATTAATATATAAGCAAAGAAAGATGGGACTCTAAAGAATTTAAATCATAACTTGATTGACATAGTGATGCAGTCATGTGATTTTTTATTGCATATTTTAAATATAATTAATTATATGTCTTTAACAAACAAAACAAACATTTAATCATTTCTTTGTATGTGAATGTCTCTATCCATTAAATATTCACGATGGTTATGACTATTACGCAATACGCTCGATATCACCATTGACATAACAAACAATTGGATCACCAGGTGGTAATAATACCAAGGACTTGCATGAATGAAACTTTTAATAATGCATGTCTATCCAGTTCATAGAATAAATAAATAGGGAGGATCAAAAAAATATTTTCCTTCCCATCGTATGGTTTCTTATGAACAGAATAATAAATCTGATGACATTGATTACAGGTATCAGATTTAATAAAAAAATTCCCATAAAGAATGCGCAATTGCAAGTCTTTCATATCCATGGAATTTTTTCTTCTGCAGATGAAAAATTGTCAACACATTAGAAGGATTTTATAAGATTGACAAGATTTCACCCATTATCTTCCTCTCAGATCAGACTTGGCTGTTACCATATGAGCATTGATCATTGATGAGAGACAGCACTCATGTGATGTTTACTTGTGACATCCTGACCTGTAGAGCAAAGATGGGTTTATAACTTTCCTCTTAACATCAAAGCACAAATGCAATTTCAGAAAATTTCTCAAAAGAATTATTGCTTCATTAACCTGTATGTTTACATAGCACTCCTAGCACTTTAGAGTTGTACCTTCTTGGCTACAGAGCCAACCGCATTTACCTAGAAGTAGGATCGTTGCAGGCAATTCTTCAGCTAGCATGCTCATCTGGGTGACGTTAGTTTAGGTGCTGTGAGGGAGGATGATTAGGATGTCCTTGACAATGATGCAGTCTCTCAATAAACTCCAGGGCCATGCACTCCTCCCCTAAAATTTAACAACATCATTGCATCATCGGAGGGATCCAGGTCAGATTAACCTTGTGAATATAAGGAATGTGTGAAAATGATTGTAATATCTTCAAGGTAACGTGTGTGCCTTGATGTCTGTAAAATTCCTGATAATCAAATGCTAGAATCGAAATGTTCTTTTTGCAACAGTCATGTGCCTTGACATCATGTGATTATATATTTTAATAATTAATATTAATAATTATGATTACGAAAAGCAAAATCGATACCAACCATTTAATTATTATCTTGATGAAAATTCTCTATAATATTACCTAAAGATAAATCCTGCACCATCCACATTTTGATTCCAATAAGATATTTTATATAAAATAATAATATAAAAAATTTTTTTTTGTATACCTCTTGTCATCAATAATCAATACCTTGTCTTCTTTAGGAGAACCGTATCATATCATGCCAAACAACATTTACGTTTCTTCATTTTATTATTTTACCAAAAAAAAAAAACCAATCGCGTCAACAAAATAACACTTCTTTGTACAACCCATATGTATAAATTACAGTATTAATAATATATATTAATAATATACATGTTCGATCAAATAAAAGATAAAAAATTTCTTTTCTTTAAAAAAGATGGATAAAACTAAAATGAAAAGAAAAATAAGCAAAGAAACATCAAAGGAAAATTAAATGAGTCATAAGAATGGTGATTATCACTTTATTTATCACCATAAGACCAAACAAATAGTTTTTCTAGAAATATTATTTTAAGTCAATTAATTTACATTTTTGGCAGCTAGATTAATGCCGACTTTTAATGTAGAGAGAATGAATCATCCCGAAGACGATAATTATAGTACTAGTTCACACTAATACAATTCAGTAACATCTGAAAGCACTGATTCAGGTTAGAATGATAAATGTGACTACTGGTTGGACTGGTTGTTGGAGTAGGTGATGAAAAATCGGAATTTGTTACAGGTGTAAACTAGCGTTGGTCGCCAAAACTATTTTGAGAGGTGAAAGTCAAAACTAAAATTAAAAGTTATATGTCAAAACTAAATCAAAAGTCAATAGTCAAAAATCAAAACTAGTTTTGACTTATGGCAAAACCTTTTGACTTTCGCATGGTTGCGAAACTCTCTAATTTTGGAAATCAACACTGTACTACTAATTTGAAATATCTTGGTTTGGAGGGATGTAAAGGAATTAGCGAAGAGGTGATTAAAAACTCAATCTGAAAATTAAAATCGAATATCCTGATTATTCAAATGATTTACATACTCCAATCTTCACCAGTGGACGGAATAGGTTAGTTTTAATCAATACATTAGACAAAACAGATCTTATTTCTGCAATCAATAATTATATCAGAGAGACTGGTGTGATTATTCCTAATTATTCATCATGGGTTACAAATGATTGCATTTAATATCGAAGAATGGGTAATTATTTATTAGTTATTTTTTCCAGATAATATACAGTGTGTAATGAAAAAAATTGACCTCACAAAAAATTAAACTACCCAAGAAATACATGAGATAATTAAACAAAATTAGATTCATTTAAAAGTCAATCAATTACTTTATTTAAAAAAAAACTCAATATAAAATACTATTGCCAATTTTTTGTAAGGTCAAATCATGTCTCTTTTTTTAATTTTTTTTAAATTTTTGCCTCCGAAATTTTAACATGAAACTTTTTAACAATTGCTTTAACACAAAAACACACATAATAATCATATAAAAAATATATATTAATTTGTAGCTTAAGTTCCGAAGATCATTTATATAAAACTATATGTACCCATATTTTCTAAAAATTTGTCAATTAAAAATAAAAGAAATTCAACTAGAAAAATTTCAATGCAAAGTTTTTTAATCATTGCTCTAAAGCCCACATAATAATATGCTTCAAAATTTTTACATGTAATAATTTATGATCTTTTGATTCTTTGACATAATTTTTATTATGCGGCTTTGGATTTTGGTTACTTTCTTAGAAAACAAATTTAGAGGTCATTTTTTTTCATTACACACTGTACATCATTAAATATATTTAACATGTTCATCAATACGCTAGTAGAAGGAAAAACCCCAGTTAAAGCATTAATCAATATAACATCTAAATCCAATACTATTAGCAAATAAGCTTGAATCTGATTACGGATTAGAATGTCAATTCGGTGATGATCTGATAGGTGAAGAAATAAAAGGTCTAGATTTACGATTTCATTATAAAGGGAGGTGGCAAAGCTTGGATGGTATTGAAACAATTGACTTTATAATTCGAAAAAATCCACCATTTGATCTGGTATTAGGACAAGATTGGTTATGGATACATAAAGCAAAAATAGGTTTCGGGTTTTCTTCTGAAATTAATGATTTTTATACAAAAATGAAATAGATGGTATGAGTATTCCGATCAAAAACGATTTTAACAAAGTCAGCTCTAGTAAAAATAAATCATTAGACCATTCTGATTCTAGAACAGAGACCGATTCATCAGAATCCAATTCTTACAATTGTCCTCAAAAGAAGAAGAGCAAAGCTGACCATTATACGACTGCCTCTGGTGAGAGTAAACTTGGCCTAAAATTGGAGGAGCTTACGAATATGATTAAGAAATCTCTTTCTGATGCCGAAGATAATATGCACATGACTGTATCTGCAAAGAAACACCCTATTCGAAAGCGTAAAGTGAAGGGTAAAATTAGCTGGAGGTTGGCAAATGCCTAATTATTGAACTATGTAAATTACATCACGCCTCAATATAATGCCAATTAGATCCGGAGCCTGATCGTTAAACTGGAATAATTACCAACCAATCACATCACGGATGAATCTGCATAGAAGTTCATATAACTGTACCACGTATGATAATTCTTATTTTTCGCTTTATTATTAGTCTGGGAAATACAGTGCGGATCATCTATACTCAAAAGTTAAAATTTTTGAAATATTATGTGATCCACACATTGGATTTTAAAAAA